AGGTCTCGAACCCGCGGGCTCAGGCCATCCACTCACCTCAGCCTCCCAAGGCGTGGGATGACAGGCTGAGCCACTGAACCCGGCTTAATCACCTTTTTACAGAGGACAAAAATGAAGCTCAGGGAAGTTTAAAAACAACCCGTCCCAAGTCCTGCAGTGATGGGGCCAGATGTCCTGCCAGGCGGGAGTGTTTATGTCAGCTGTCTCGGAAGATACACCAGGTGCCCAGCCAATGAGACAGACGTTTGAGCTGGGGCGTGGAAGGTTGAGGGCAGAGGCTCTGAGGGTCAGACCTGGACTTCCGGGTAGCCACGGCTTTTGATCCCCGGCAGAGGGACCTTTGGTGACCCTGGGATGGCTGATTGCACTCCTGTCTCAGCAGAAGCCCTGTGAGCTGTCAAGCCCCGTCAGGCCTCAGGCAGGGCGGGGAGGACTTGGCTTCCTTCCCCGTCACTGCTGCCTGCTGTCTGCAGTGGATGTGACTGTGCCCATTTTGCAGGTGAGGAAACCGGGACAGGCCCGCGGAATGCCTCGTCCAGGGTGCTGTGTAGGCCGGGCTGAGACTCGAACCCACGGGGGGTGGGCTGCACCCACCGCGGACTCTGGGTCGATGAGTCCTGGAGGTCGTCCCGGCTCCCCAGTGAATCGGGCGCCCCTCCCGTCCAGTCTTGACCTGAACCTGGTGCCAGCTGAGAAGCCAGTCACTGCACAGCAGCGACTGCCTGGAACTGTTGACCTCACGAATCACCCCGGAGCGAGGACAGTCTCGGGTGAAAACCATCAAGAGCCTCAGAAACTCATGACCCTGCCACTGAGCGGGGGACCATGTTCGTGGGGCCCGGCCACCATGCCGTAGGACATGCTTTCTGCGTAATTCTGCCAACGTTCCCTGAGTGCCGAACTGACGCCCTGGGCGGCCCAGGCTTGTTGCTGGGAAAGGAAAGGGTGAGGGACGATGAGAGCCAGTGAGGAGCTTGAACTCTGAGACTCGAACTCGGAGCCTCGTGGCCCGGGTAGTGATCCTGGCCCTGCCAAACCTAGTGATCGGGTGACTTTAGCCAAGTCACTTCACCGTTGTGCCTTAGTTTCCTCACGTGAATAGCACCTCCTCACAGAGTGGTTGCTGCAGGGATGGATTGGGGCGATACAGACGGAAGCAGGTCTCAGGGCCTGGCCCCCGGTCCGTGTCCTGGGTGTCCTCTGCCGAGATCGCCACGTTGTACCTTTTTTTTTTTTTTTTTGCTGTCGTTGACACCATTTGATGCACCGCTGTTGACTGTTGACGCACATTTGGGTTATTTCCAGCTCGTGACTATTTCGGATGGAGTCATGCACCCCGAGAGGACATTCCAGGCAGCCCCGGCCACGTGTGATGGTGGTCCCCAAGATTCAAAGCCCCTGTTTTCACCGTCCCCATCCTGTGTTTAGACACAAATACTTTCCACCGTGTCATGGTTGGTGGCAGTGTTCAGTGTGTCACATGCTGCATGGGGCTGTAACCTGGAAACACCAGACTGAGCCATACAGCCTAACTGTGCGGTAGGCTAGACCATCGAGGTGTGAAGTAGGCTAGACCATCCTGGTGTGGGGTAGGCTAGACCATTTAGGTATGGAGTAAGCTACACCATCAAGGTGTGGAATAGGCTAAACCATCTGGGTGTGCAGTAGGCTAGACCATTGAGGAGTGAAGTAGGCTAGACCATCTAGGTGTGTTATAGACCCATCTAGACCATCTGGGTGTGGATAGGCTAGACCACTGAGGTGTGTTTCAGGCTATACCATCCAGATGTGGCGTAGGGTAGACCATCAGGTTGTGTTGTAGGCTAGACCATCTGGGTGTTGGTAGGCCTGGCCATCAAGGTATAGAGTAGGCTAGACCATCTAGGTGTGTTATAGACCCATCTAGACCATCTGTGTGTACTGTAAGCTAGACATTCAGGTGTGTAGTAGTGTAGACCATCTGGGTGTGGAGTAGAGTAGACCACCAAGGTGTGGAGTAGGCTAGACCATCTAGGTGTGTTATAGACCCATCTAGAACATCTGGGTGTAGAGAGGCCTAGACCACCTGGATATGTCGTAGGCTAGATCATTGAGGTGTGGAGTAGGCTAGATCATCGAGGTGTGTTATAGACCCATCTAGACCACCTGGGTGTGTTGCAGGCTAGACCACTGAACTGTGGAGTAGGCTAGACCATCTGGGTGTGGAGTAGGCTAGACCATTGAGTTGCGGAGTAGGCCAGACCATCAGGGTATGGAAGAGGCTAGACCATCCAGGTGTGGAATAGGCTAGACCATCGGGGTGTGCAGTAGACTAGACCACTGAGGTGTGTTGTAGGCTAGACCAACAAGGTATGGAGTGGCTAGGCCATCTGGGTGTGGAGTAGGCTAGACCATGGGAGTATGGAATAGGCTAGATCGTCAAGGTGTGGAATAAGCTAGACCATCTGGGTGTGGCATAGGCTAGACCCCGTGGGTGTGTGTGAGTGTGTGAGGTTCACACAAGGAGAGAATTGCCTCGTTGCACCCCTCTCAGAGCCCGTCCCCATCTGCGGTGGACATGCTCACGTGTGGTTTGGCAGGTGACGCGTGCGTTTCCCTGGCGTCCGCACCCCGGGGTGGGATTGCCGGGCACGTGGCTGTTCCGTCCTGGTGGATCCCGGCCGCTCTCCAACCCGGCCGAGCGCTCTCGGGCCCTCCCGCGGTCGCG